TTAATAAAATTAATTGAAAATAAATAATTTTCAGACATTATGTATACAAATTATCTTTTTGTTTTAATGAATTATTGTTATGATTTAAACAGTATTTTTTATTGACTAAAATAGTTTTTGAAAACATGATAGTAAATTTTCTATAATTTCTAATAATAATTTACGTTTTATAACGAAAGTTTTACATTGTTAACAAAGCATAAATTCTGTTATTTTGTACTCTTTATTTTAATTTGTATTATTAATATTCTTTAATTATTTTTTTTTGTATAATCAAACAAGGTTTTTAATAGTTGAAAATAAAGTTAATATTAAAAAAGACCAAGTTGAAAGCAATATTTGCATTAATTTTGTATAAAAAGATTAAACGTATGATTTTGATTCATGAAATAAAACTAAAATTAAGTCAATTCTTAATCAAGTCTATACTCAACAATAATCAGTTGTAAATTTTGGTTTATCAACAAATGTTGTATTTTTTTAAATTAATTTTGAATTATTTATTTTTTTGATTGAGTAATAAAAATGTAATAAAGTCAATATTTTAAAATAATATTTGCTTATTTTAAATTAATATTAAGTATGATTTTGATGAAGTAATGAAAGTTAAAATACAATTTTTTTTATAAATGATTTTGATTGAGCAATAAAAATGGAATAAAGTTAGTATTTAAGAATGGAAACTTCTTAAAATTTGATTTTTTAATTTAATTTTGGATTGAATTTTACTTATAAAAATGATTTTGATTGAGTAATGAAAATGGAATAAAGCCAATACTTAAAAATAATCGATTACATCCATAATCAGATATTGGTGGATGTTAATTTTTATGTTACGTATATAAACCGCATTTTACATGTGACAAGTACATTATTAATTTAACTCTAGTAGGCCGCTTTCTCGAATCTTGGGCTTCAAGATAACGGACAACCTGCATTCTACGTGTTCGTACCTTAACTGGTATTAGCAGTATAAACATTGCATTACAATATCAACTGTTGAATTGTAAATGAAAAGAACTAGATTTGAAAGGACAACAGGACTATTAATTTCTGCGAACGATGGAAATCCTGGTGGGCGGACTTCGACACTGAATTATGGCCATCGAGGAACAAGGAAGGAATACGACAAGAAAGGAGCACCAAAATAAATTGAACAGGTGATCGATCTGAGATGATGATGATGATATCATTTTCGGACATCAAAAATCAATTTGATTTCTCTATAAAAATCGGTGCCGAGTGTGTGTAAATACCTTCCACCATCCCGATATCTCGACGACACGAGATACAGATCTAAACACGTGTCTAGATGCCGAGATCTCAAAGGGTTTACCTATATTATACCCATACAAATACGTACCAAAAAAAGAGAAGAAAAGATGAACAAAACAACAAGAAACGAAAAGAAAGCGAAACAACAAGAGAACGAACTCGTCCTTCTTCGTTCTCTAAGAGATTGAAGAAGGAGATGATACCTAATTATTTAATTGACTGCGGTCGCCTTGCTTCAGAAGACCAAAGGAAGACTACGAGGAGAAGAAGGAGCAAGGGAAAAACCGTTTTATTACGATTCCAATTCGATGCGCCTCTTAATTGGTACCCCATGCTTAATTAATTAATTAAACTCGAAATGGGACCGCGGCGCCAAGGGGGGATAATACTTAGGGTTTTTATTTTTATTTGTTTGTTTTTACGATAAACGCTATCAAAATTTAGGTTATAAATATAAGAGGAAAAAAGGCTATTTGGTCCAGTTTCTTTTTTTTAAGTAAAACGATGGGAACCTTGACGTGTATTGAATATTTTGAACGCCTACTAATTCATTCATAAGCTACTTGTTTTTTCTTTGAAACTCGACAAACGAGAATTTGAGAAATATTTTCGAGACTGTTCTCTCATTTTTCCAAATTTTTGAATATTTTTTTATACATATATCTACAAGTATCATCTAAGTGAATTAATAAATAGAATACTTTTAACATTTAATAATATGAAACTATTATCTCGCATAGTCCAGATAATTGGATCCACTGTTTTAAACTGGACTAATCGAGGTTTTTGAAACCGTCTAAAACTAAACTATACAAAAAAGACTTGACAGTATAATCAATTATATATAACAAATAATTTTGTAGTCGCACTAATCTAAGCCGGATTATGTATTGATTAAGTATTGATGTACATACAAAAGGAGATGTACGGACAAAAGGAGACTTAACTGTTTAAGCACAAAAAAAAACCTATGTTTTAAAAATATCTTTTTGCTCAATTAAATTGAAATTTTCAAACCGTACTATAATGTATGCGTACTGATCGATGCCGAACTCTGCAAGTCATCTTGTCTCATATTTTCAATTGTAGATGGTTAAATAAAGATTACAAATATTTGATTTATAAGTTTTATGCATTTAAGTAAATTAATTAAAAAGTTAGAAAATTTATAAAAAAAGTTTCCTTTCAACTATAGTATCCATTATAAATAAATAAAAATTAAGCAATAACAATCAATACAGTCTTTTCTAGTAGATTGAATTTTAGTAAGTTAACAAAAAGAGACTCTTAGAATATCACCCATCTAAATAAAATCCACACTGCATGATGATTAACTTTTATAAGATGTCAATTGCTGAATAGATGACATTTAAAAATCACAAATACGTATTAAAAACATTACTGTTTGCAATCATTTTTTTATCATATCAGTAGATGTAAATTAAGACATATTTACTAATTCTTATTGGCACTAATTTGGACGAAACATTTTCAATTTATTTTTTCAAAATTCTCGAAAAATTATTTTGTGTTTTATCTAGAAAAATAGGATATTATTTTAGTCCCAAATAACAATGAGACAGACTTGGAATAATTTCCACACTGTATCATAATTAATTAAGATGTCACTTTTAAATCACAAATATATATTAAAAATATTATATCTGTAGTTAAGATTTTAAAAAATTCAAGTTATTTATTTACTATCTTTCATTGTCACTAATTTGGACAAATACTAAAGTTTTTTTATGTCTGAAATATTTTCTAATTATATTGCCTAAATTTGTATTTAATAAAACGTAAATTAAAATAATCTCTAATATAGGCATTGTCACAAAAGAAGCGTTACCATTTTGTTTTCTTTCATGTCAGTTTTTATTTGACATTCGTATAATGCGGATAATCAATGACATGTGTCATTGAAGCAAAAAATAACCAAATGAATGGAATAAAAATAGCACTTTTTTACTATTACATTTACATGATATTCCTTTATCAAAACAAATTGCACCTTAATTGTGCATGTTTCATACACCATTATAAATAATATGACTTTTAATTGTTCAAATTAAAGTTTAATGCTTTTGGAATTAAAACGATAGTAATTATTATGTAATTGCAACGTTTAAAGCGGAAAATATTTTAAAATTTGTTGAGTATAAAACAATGTTATCATTATTACAAGAGATAAAATACTTTTCCCTGGAGTCAATACAATTACTGCTTTTTTTTTTCCTATTTTGCAAGCTTTGGTAGATAATGTGATAAAGTGCGTTGCGTAAATTTAAACTACGATTTTTCTTTCGCTTTGATTATGTTGTGTAACAGCACTTTATTAAAAAGTTAATAGTAGAATTACGGTAATTTCGAAAATTTATTTATTATTAGAGATAATTTAAATGCTTGCATATTCTTCAACATATATCATATATGAAAATGTCAATAAATAAACATTTTGATTACATATTTTTTTTGAAAAATTTCATACATGTATGCAATAATAATAAATATATTCTTTCTTATTTAAAGAATTTGTTGAAATTATTTTGTTACGTTGAATTGACAACAATACCTCACATAGTCCGGCTTTGATCAGTCCGGATTCATTATAGTACGGTTTGAATATTTCAAAATACGTTTTAATTGATCAATATAAAAATAAATTCTGAAAAAGTCGTACACACAATTTTATTTCGGTTTTTACTTTTATAGAGTAAAGTCTGTCCCTTTGTATGTATTTACTACTTCGATTAGTGCCGTTTCAAACCCATAATCCGGACTATACGAGGTATTAATTTATTTACGTATAATTTGTATGTATTATAATTTTGATTAATAACAAAATAACTGTTTCTTATTCAATTTTATGATTTCTCTTTAACTTGGTTTTAAATTACATTATATTGCATCATGTGACAATTTTAAATATTGACGAATAATTAATTATCATATGTTAATAAACTATAGTTTAATGTTAAATTTTCTGTAAGGGAAAGAACGTTTTAAATTTGTAAGTAACAAAAATTATAATTGATAAATTGATTTATTGCAAAAATCTGAAGATTCATTCTATATTATGTTGGAAAATATTTTTAAAAAGTTACATACATTTGGTTTGACTAATAAATATGTTAAATAATATAAAATATGTATCTTAAGCACAAATTTGGGATAATAATGATTCATAAATTTGTTTTCGAAATTACAATTTATGAAATTTAAGCTTTTGAATAGAATCTAATAGGATTTGGATAAAAAGAACTATGGTTAGTAGAGTTTGTATTATGGTAATTTGTTGCAAAAAATGTTATTATTATTCTAATAGGATTTCACATATCGTGATATTTCTTGTATACTTAAGTAAAATTTATCTATTCTATAATTTGTTGTTTTATAAATGTAGAAATGCCTTATTTTGTAACTTATGCAACATAATTATTTAGAATTAATATGTTTTCATGTATACTTTATTTTATAATAGTAATAATAAATAAGAGAATATTAATCGTTATAATCTAATATGTTAAAATAATTATTTATAACTTATTTAAATTTAGGTATTTTAATGATAAATACAGTTTTATTAGTATTTGAATTATAATCATATAATTGAAGCAAAACTTTGGTTTTTAGTTGATAAAGTTGTTAATATGTTGACAAATCTAACAAATCTTGATAATCCTATTGGGTTTCTAATTGCAATTAATGCGTGAAAAGCCACTCACCGTTTAATTGCAGTTTCTTGCTAATTATCGTCGACAAAGTTGGAACGAAATCCTTTCTCCTTCTGTGCTTCAAGTCTTCAGCGTTCCGTCGGGTCTCAGATGATGATACTTCGCGCACTTTTTTTTTCTATTTCCTTCCACAACAAAGCAATACTATAGTGCACTCACTTAAGGTCCTTCTGGTCCTTTTCCGAATGGATCGGACAAACGTGAACGAACGAGAACTGAATTAAGAAAAGAATGTATATTAATCAATCAATCGGGTTTGTTTTTTGGGTGTGAAGTGAAAACGGTGTTGCGTTGTTGAAGCGTTCGGAGCCGCGACTGAAGCGGCGGTGGCGCCGTAAAAGCGGTGCCAGAGCCCCGCCTATTGCCGTGTGCCGCGGGCGGCGGGGGCCGCGCCGCGCTCCGACGCACCCCCTTTTTCCTTTTGGCCGCTGCTGACCACATTTTTGTATCCTATTACCATAAATTAAGAGCCGAGACCGGACCTCTAAAACAAGATCGAAAGTGGAAAATAAATTTCTGTTCTGAAAATTCGTAAAAAAGAAATAATTCTGATGTCCATAGATTTATTATGTTTATAAACATATAGATCAAAGTAAAGTTTATATTATGAAACAGAAAATATATTTGTTTTAGTACAAAAAAATGTTCATCTTTCTATGGAACATTTGAGCGTTTAGTTAAATGCTTTTCAAGAAAATATAATGTTTCAGTAAAGTATAATACAGTGAAACCTCGTTTAAACCATTCCAAAATTTCCTAATTTTTACTCGTATAGTGAAACATATTCAAAAGTACACATAATATGTGTACACAAGTTTTAAAAATGTTGTAGCAGGCGCACAATCCGGGACTTCTCTTAAGCTAGTCATTTTTCTTACAAATCATTTTTCTTGTTATGCGAAATGCTCGTTAAGCGAGGTTCCACTGTAATATGATTTTATGTTTTTTTATATTTTGCTGCCTGTAATTATTATATAAAATTAATGTAAACATTTATAAGGCAAAAAGACTGTTTATTATTATACTTAATATGAATATACATATGTTGTATTTTTAAATATAAGATTTATTGGTATTTTTTAAATTGTAAAATATAAATAAATTTTTAAAAAATAAAAATCAAAGCAAAGTTTATGAACTTAACAGAAAACATACTTATTTCAGTAAAATTGTTAATGGTCCTTTCCTAAATTGTATCAATATAAATTTAGATCTACAGAATTTATTAATTATACATTTATTGGCATTTTTTACTAAGTTCTAAATAATTATAAAAAAATGGAAAAAAATGTATAAATTTCTAAAAATTAGAACATAGATTGATGAATATTGATTTATATTAAACATATTTATTAGTAAAGCTTTTGAACTAAACAGAAAACATACTTATTTCAGTAAAAAATTCATTGTTAATAGTAAATACAACCTCACTTAACGAGCGTAATCTGTTCTAAAATTTCCGGATTTTTACTCGTATTGTGTAACAATTTTCCCCATATGTTACATACGATAATGCGTAACATTTTGCGAGTCATTTTTCTTACAATTTATTTTGCTCGCTAAGCGAGGTTCCACTGTACATTTATTGGCATTTCTCAATCAGTTATAACTAATTATAAAAGTGGAAACATAAATAAATTCTCTTTCATTTATTAAACTTTTAGATCACAAAATTTATAAAACATTACTGAAAAAATCATATTGAGAAGGGACAATAAATCTATTTCTGAAAATTCGTCTTATTTCCTACAGCGAAGTTTCTATAACGTAATCAAAATATTAATTTAGTTTAGTTGCGCATTTCTTTCCAAAAATTTCTTATCTCATGTAAACTTAGTTACATAATCAGAAAATTTGCGAAACTAAACAGAAAACAGAAACAGAAGAAAGAGTTATTGTCTTTGCAGCAATTATTTTTTTATAATTATATATGAAAATGTTAAATTTTGTTATTTTTTTGATATTGCAATCATAGTTGATATTATCTCAATAAAATATACAGACGAAACATTTTCTTGATATTCCAATTTATAAATGCAGTAAATATTATCAAAAACTCAGCGGTATTATTAAGTGACACACACACACACATAAAGTATAAATAAACCGCATTAGAAGAGATTTGACTGTATAAAGGAAAAATATACCTTAATATATGTATAAAATTGGTGGCAATCACAAGCCCGACAACCGGAAGACCGTCTATTGAAATCCCGACATTCGAAATCCCGACTATATTAAAATCCCGACAACCATAATCCCGACTGTATCGAAAATGTATACAATAACATTTTCAAATTATTCCGGAGCGTAGTGACTTTTAAATTGTTATTAATAAAAAATAATAACAATTAATAATCTAATTGTATTTGAGATAATTTCATATTGTTATGGTTTATTATGAATAATTCAAGATAATTAATAATAATTTATTGTTATTAATAATAAAAGTGTAGAACAAGGTGACTACGCTCCGAAATAATTTAAAAATGTTATTGTAAAAATGTTCAATATAGTCGGGATTTTGATATAGTCGGGATTATGTTTGTCGGGATTATGGTTGTCAAGATTTTGATATAGTCGGGATTCCAATAGACGGTCATTCGGTTGTCGGGCTTACGACAACATTTTGTTTATTTTGAAATTATCAAATCGAACTTTATAAATCCGAATTATTTCCTGTATTGTTATAATCACACATCAGAAAATTACCTCTTAATTTTACACTGTGATTTGTTCATTAATCATAGATTTAATGTACAAAAAAAACATTCATTTTGTAATCATCTCTAAATCTCTAATTTACATTTGTAAATTACAAATTTCATTTATAAATGTAAAATTTACATGATCCAAAATGTTCATTACGCTTGTCATGACTTCATTATATAACTAATAATAGAATTATTAGCAATAAATAAATTATGTTTTTTTTTTAATTAATTATACAAAATAATAGTTTCATACACTGTAGTTAAAAAAGTAAGACTTGTAACAATAGAAGAACTAATTAAAATAGCTAAACTGAACTAACCAATATAAATACTTTTTATTTCAAATTTTACAATCATTTTTGATGTTTGCATTGCTAAAATTGTTTAAAATTGAATGAAATCAGTAAAAAAGTATATTTTGAATTCTATCAAATTAATTTGTAATAAAATAAATATTTTGAATTGAAAATTAACAATATGTGTAAAGAATTTTATAATGTACATTGAGACTTTTTACAGAAAACTTCAAGCTGATGCATACTTAGAATTAGAGTATTTTCATTGCAAGTCAGTATAAATACATAAACGATTCCGTGGGCGCCGGTTCGATTCCTGTTCAAACCAGGCCTTTTGTGAGCCCTTTCGGTGCTTGTAGCAATAGGGCCATTGTTCATCACAAATGGACAGTGATATGAATGAGGTTCAGTATTTGGACCTTCAGGCAAGTCGATGCACAATGATAGTGTTAAGGATAGCAGCAGATTCACAGTCAAAGGAAATAGTGGAATTGCAGAGCATCAATATACTACTGAAGTTAACTTACAAGATGGCAGCAAATTACAGAAGAATATAATGGTAAAAACTTCCATTGGGATGTTTACAAAAAAGGAATAATATTGTAAATTCAATACACATAATAAAAAAATCAATTATGTTTGATTGATTTTATTTATAAACTGTTCTAAAAAACAGTGATTAACAATTAATTAAACTTATTACAGTTATGAACTAAAATGTATATAATATACATTTTAGTTCTTTAATGAATTTGTAAATGCAGTTATTTGAAACATTTCAGTTTTTGAGTTGCGTGGTATTTCTGTAATAAGTATATTTATATGCGAATGCAGAGACTATCTTTATAGTTCTTTGAAAACCTTTATATACCATTATTATTTCTCAACATTTTATCATATTTCTTAGATTAAAACGTTTATATAAGTCCAAACAGATTTTGTTTAATAATAGAACGTATACAACTTATTTTCTTTAGTTAATTGTAAGTTATCACGTAATAGTTTGTATGATTTATCTATAATTTAGGTGCATACAAAAATGTGTTATTTTGATCAATTTTTTGTTAGTTATTTTAATCAATAATCATAGGGCATTAATACACTTTACACTAGAAGTAATTTGAGTTTATTTTTCCAAGTCTCACTCAATTTCAAACATTTAGTGATCAAATGGGCATAGCTTAACTTATTTTTTTTTTAGATTTAGCTGAAATTGTATATCATTTAGATAAGAATTTGTTGAAAAAGTATGTGAAAAATTTAGCTTCTAGATTGTAAAACCTGTATAACATATTTGTACAAATGCATTCGAAACATTTAGGAATACCAATGAATATGCTTTTTCTTCGTTTCTTAGAACTTCAAATTGATGTGTTTTCTACAAAATATTATTAATTGGATCTTAATTAGGTGAAGTGTTTAGAACAATTTTAATTTAATTAATATTATCCAAATTATATTTATCTCTGAAATTGCAATTGTAAATATTTTCTATCTTCTAATAATCAAAATTGATCTGATTTAGAAATTTCTAATTATTATTACTTTGTTTATTCACTAACAAATATTTCTTTATATTGTGTTAAGAAATAAAAATAACTGTTATATTTTCAATATCATTGACATTAATTAATCGATAAATAATTATTTAGTAATTCCGACTTGTATTATCTTTTGCTGAAAACGAATGAAGTACATGTTTTTCGGGAGTTCAGAAATTAATATGACTGCATTCTGAACACCTTTATACTTTTACTCATACTGTGCACTCTTCACTTTACTTATAATGGTATATATATGTATATTCCTTTTAATTTAGCATTACACATTTTTTTGACACAATCACTCTTAAAATGATAAGTTTAAACCAACAAAAATAACTGTTATATTTAATGAAAATACATTGTAAGAACTGTGTTAAATTAAAATTTAGATGGAAAGATCTATGGTCGATAGCCAGATACAGTAAAACCTGTTTTTGTGCTGTCGTTTTTATGCGATTTTCGAAGCAGTTCGAACGGCGTTGGTTCGATTTGAAAACATTACTCAAACTCAAACGATTCTGTTAGTCGATTTTGAACCATTTCATCACAAGAAGATGCGCGTTTTGGATTAACACGTGTAGCAGTGAATTATGTATGTGCATTTTTCAATTGCATTTTTAAGGAGATTTTATAAATATTTGGATTACATTAAGTTATAAAAATACTACAATTAGAATACAAAATCTAATTGTAGTATTTTTTCAGTCATTGCATAAAATACTGTTTGTTTTGAATAATGTTAAAAG